TTTACGATTGCGACGCCGGAAACGTACATTTTTACGAGCTGCTTTTTACGAGCGACTCAACACCCAACACCTCCACACCCCCGCCCCTTGGGGCCCGAGACGTGCGGGATACGTCGTAGAAATCCGTGCACGCTTTTAGAATGTCATCATTCATTTGACGTGTCCGTTCGCTCATTTGACCGAGCCCACGGAGTGGTCCATTTTCATCTCTCTTCACACACCATCGTCCATTGTCCACGGAAAACTGTTTACCCGACACAGAAGAGGGAACGTTTTCACGGCGACAATTTGTGCCCCGCTTTCTTCCTTTTTTCCTTTCGTTTTTCCCCCCTTTTTCTGTCTTTTTTCCCCTGTTGTCATGCATTTGGGTTCGGGTGATCCGCGCCGCGTTCAAAGGTGAATATACCTTTGACGGGGAGAGCTGGAATCGCGCGGCAGTTTCAAATGGCACACGACAATCCTTTGTTATAATCGGCTGCGCAAATAACGAGTATTGCCTCTGCCTGGGGTATTTTTTGTTTCCTTGGGAACGTTTCTGTTGTTCGATTGTCGTGCGCTTTGTCACGTTCGCGTAGGTATATATGTACGTACGTGCATATACTTATGCTGACGTATTTGTTCATGCGAGTGTACACGTTCATCGCGATGCGCAGAGTGTTGTTATTAGCAGGAACTTTATTCGCTGTTGATATGCGAATGAAGCTGAAAAGAAAAAGGTTTTCTTTATTTCTTACGAAAGCATTTCGGTATTGAAAATTCGTAAAGTTTTTGTATAACGATTTCGATTTGAAACGTTTTCGTTAAAGGAAATTTGCAATTATGATTCGTTCGAAATCATAGGAAGAATTGAAATATGAAGGAACAGATCGTAGTTTCGAGGTATTGAACAAAAATTATGTATTTCGCAAAATGTCGTCTTCAAAACTTCGTTTGAACTACGTTTTCAACAATGGATAGCTTGAGAATATTGGAATAGGAAAATGAATCTGATTATCATCGGTTAATCGAAAAATCGATGAAACACGTTAGCATACACGGTGACTCGTCCGCGTAGAGCGCGCCACATTGTACCGGAAATGTGACTGAATACGATTCTTGCTTGCAACGTCGCGCTTTCTCGCTTCTGATCGTAGATTTATGTTTCACTTATTTCTCTGTAGACCTTGTCATTGCATGCGAATGATGGTCTTGCTACGATGAATACGAACGTAGTGTGGAACATGCCTAGATGACGCACAGCTTATTTTCATTGTCACCGATCAATGACTCCTGTCGCGGCCAAGATGGCCAACGTTGCTCGAGATATTAATATTAACTAACACGATTGTGACATTATTAAACACCTGGAAAGATCGGTATTAACATTACAATTCATTTTAATGTTATAATGAATTGAAGATTCTAATGAATTTTGAGGATTCTAATTCCCAGATTTCTCAATGTAAATTCGTAATGTTAAAGGACGTAATGTGCGCTTGCATAGTTTGTTAATGAAGTAGAAAAAAGTTTCGAATAATACAAAAACTGTCTGGTTTAATAATTATTCGTTTTTGACATGTGATAATTTCTTCGAATAAATATCGAATACAACTGCCAGTGATAATTACGCTAGCTAGAAGCATTCAAGGCATTTAATAATATTATTCTATCATTTTATACGAATATATAGTGCACATTTCAAATCACTTGAAACAGTTATAACAGATATCAATTTAAGATGGAACAAATAATTCGTTAAACGTACGCCAATAAATGTCTGTAGCACTGGTTCAGAATCACGCGGTAAAATTAAATTGTACCAATACGACACGGAACTGCGGCTACTACAAGTTTAAAAGAACATTTAATTTTAACGGGTGTTTTATGTGCGTCCAGGACCGCAAGATATAAACCGGAGCCACGTGCGCGATTGAAAAATTTATATCTCACGTGGAAATCACTCGATATATCTTGAACAGACCGTTAAACGTCCCGAGTGCAATATTTATACGATAACACGCGATAAAGTTAAACTTTTCTGCCCTGATAGGTTCATCCTCTCCATCAGAGATATCCAACATTTTACCACCCCTGGGCCTCATTGGAAGAAGATGGGCTGTTATGGGGCGCACATAAATTAATAGCATGTTTAACACTGTATTTGTATCATTGTTAATGTCCTTTAGTCGCAATCTCATCAAGTTTGTAAGCTTATGATTTTTTGTTGAGTCGCGGGTTGGACAAGCCTGCTTTAACACTAAAACTACCAGACAAGTCAAATTGATTCACTTCAGAATTTTTATTTTGCAAATTTTTTACTTACGAAAATGGTATTGTGAAAGATTTTTAATTTAATGTATGAATTTGTACAGATACAAGTCTAGGCGACCGTCCGAATTTCAAGAAACGTATTGTTCTAATTTTTATTAAGAAAATTGGAGATAAGTCATTCTAATTGCTCGGTGGTTTTAGTGTTAAACTTTCCCAAGCCGCGTCATATCGGATTCCTTATTTTCATTTCGCTGCCGTTGACGCGGCCGAAAACGGCGATCAACCGCCGATGATTTCATTTACATAATTATCGTTGGCCAAATACGAAACTCAGTTGACCATAGTTAATCAGCCGACGCTCATTTATAATCGAGATATTAATCCATTATTACCTACAATGCGCCGTGAACGTAAATCATGTTGCCAGTCGGAATTATGCGAGCAAATAAATCACCTACGAGCGGAACGTTGTTTGAATTCCTTACGTCAGCGCGACGGACCGTTCACGATGCGAAAGTAATAACTATACTGTGAATTTTTATACGTTTGTAAGAAATATTGAAGTCCCGAATTGCAGATGAAAATATATAAAATATTCAAAGTATAGTGTTTTCCATAATATTTGTACAAAAAAACTGCTTTCTATCAGAATTCTACTATTCTAATTACGTTGCGAAAAATTTTAACTTGCATAAGGATCCTCAGTCCAGTAATGACTATTACGAACTGATCCACGCGTTTTCATGAACAATCATTCGTTTCGAAAATATACTTTCGTATAAAATGGATCATAATTTGTTCATAAAAACGAACTTAAGCCATATATCAGACCATTTGGCAACCAACGTCGCATTTCAACGCTGATTTACTACAAAATAAATTTCATTCTCCATATATCGCATTTTTCCTGTAATCAGGTGATTTTTCAAACAACAACTTGCCATTATAAGAACTAACAAATCGATTATTACAAGAATATATACATTGTTCTCGAATTTTATGAACTCGCGCAAGCTCTAACCGCGCGAGAATTCACGCTCCGAACGCTAACCACAATTTCAAGAATTCTAAATCTTCGCCCTCTATTGTCTTCCACGGGGTAAAGATCAAATCTACTGTTATTACAATCAATACTGGGACCTCATCATTCCCGTGTATCCTGTGCAAAGGACACCCAGCGGAAGAGTTACCTCTCGTCTCATCCAGTCGCGAAATTCCCGCGATAACGAGTCGCGATTAGGAGCACGCTCGCGATAAAGCGGTACGTGTGCCCGACGAGACAATGCAGGGACAAGGAGTCAAGGTTCACAAGCCCCTTCTTCCCGTTTATCCTTCGGACGGGAAGCAGGAACATCTCCCAACGGGAAACCCTCAACGAACAGTGGGAACGTTCGGTCATTTTTACGTAAAAATCAAAGGATTCTCGATAGAATTAACCCTTAGAGTACGAACGTTGCTGTGAACGATAAATTCTTTTTCTAATTAAATCTGAAATGTTGTGAAATAAAGAAAAAATATGGAAAAAGTAAGAAAAATGATTGAAATTGATATTTTTCTGAAAACAAGAAGATTTTACCGTAGAAACTACTTCTGATGTACTTAAAGTTACTCCAATAATGGGGATAGGTTTTTAATCGGTATATCGTTCATTTGATAGATTTATTCTCATAAATTCTAAGATATTGAATTCCAATGTGATTTTACGTTATGATAGGAAAAAGACGAAATCGTTTCAAGAAACATTAACCTTAATCTATTTTGACAAGATAAAAACTCATTTATTATGCATTTTGCATATTTCTCTTTTATTCTATAATATTTCAGCTTTAATTTACAAGAAACTCCTCGCTGCATCTTAAGCTTCACGTGCGATCTCACACACTTCTATATAAAGTATCGCGAATTTTGAAACCGGTGAAACTTCCGTTACACATTTGATACCTTTATTATATAAAAATATTCAAAAAAGTAAAAAAAAAATGAATACAATAAAATTGTTTATTAGTTTCTACAAACAAGAATATGTAACATTAATCAGTAATTTTCAGACTTCCATACTTAAACGTTAAATTAACGTCCACACTTAATACGCTCCATGCCTGCAAAAGTTTCGGTTACACTTCGTTTATAAAATGTATCGACCTCCTTAATAAAATATTGAGTTATATTTAAGTTCACGGTTACTTTTATATATTTTGATATCATTCCTTTTCGTATCCGCCGCCTTATAACGTGCAAGTACCACTACCCGTGGCCATGTCTCTTGACACTAAAGTTATCGAGTAACTAAATTGACTTATTTTCAATTTCTTATAAAAATTAGAAAAATATGTTTCTTGAAATTCGAATGGTCTCCTAATCTTATATCCGTGCAAATACACGAATTTCATTGAAAATCTTTCGCGAAAGACGCTATCATTATTTAAATACTTGCAAAATAAAAACTCTGAAGTGGCTCAAATTAACCTGTCTGGTAGTTTTAACGTAAAGAATATTTTCTTACAAAAATTGGCGAGCACCATATACGGTACATGCGACACTGAACGGTGTCAAAAATTAATTCTATCCAAAGTTCCTTGAGTTTTACAGAAAAATCATACAGAATATTCCCATTGCGCTTCGTCCGTTGAACGATCAAATCCTAATTTCCTCGGAAGGCGGTTGAACAGAGGGGTACGGAGGAGGTAGAGGAGGGGGTGAGAACGAAGGACAGGAAGAGAGCTGAAATGCATTTACTTGGCGATTTCCAGCGCTAACTCCAGTGATGCTGTCGTTGTCGGGGCCGCTGCTCGGCGCAGTGGTGGGCGCCACCGCCGGCCTTCTGCTGGTGATCTTCGTGATAGTGCTCGCGGTGAGATTGCGCTATCGACCAAGGCCGCAGGAGGACAAGGACTCTCACGACGACGGCGGCATGGCGAACCTGGCCGCGTCCGGCACCGGCAGCTCCTCTCCACGTGATAAATCGTCGACCTTGCCTCTCAACTCCGACAGCATCGAGAGCTTCGAGAAGGACCCCGATATAATTCCTCACGCTAATGGTGGGTAATTTAGAGACCTAATATGTCTGTGTGTGTTTATGTGTGTGCACGCGAGGGTTGCGACCATCGTTCACGCCGATCGCCGGAACTACTAACCCTGTAAGCTTTTGATCGGTTTTGCGACACTTTACTTGGGTCACTTGTCTTATAATGGTGATGCTTCTTTCGTTGGAGTGTGTATGCGGCAAAAAGAATGGACAGTCCGCGTGTTGAACGTGTTTGGATTGGACTTTTCTTTTTCAATGATATCACGTGTTCTTGTAGTGATTTAGTGATGTACATTGTCAGGCTTTATAGAAGAGAGCGGAAGTTTGCTAATTGAACTTTAAACTTGATTTAGTCTTTGTCGTTATTTTTTACATCTAGCTTATGAAAGAGTCGAAGAAGGCTGGGCTTACGAGGAAACTGGATATTCGAAGGAACGAATGATTGAAACGTGTAAGAATGGTGTATAGTTGTAGATCTTGCATTATAACTAGTCGATTCGTTGATTAGTCGGTTATAGGTAAACGACAATTTTACTGGCGCGCTTCTCTTTCTCGTTAACAAAGCGAAAGCCGCGCCGAATAATGCGCGGAACAGAAGCTCCTTGAATCATTCACAAAAAGAGCACGGTGGAGGGTTTAAAACAGTGTTAGAATGGAAAAGAAAAGTTCCTGAAAGGGAATGGAATATTAATTTCCGTATTTTTCTTCGAACGTTTGGCCGAGGGGCTCTAGTCTCATTTCGAGTAGAAATATTCACGCGCTAATTATCATCGTATGTGTTTAATTATTCCGTGTTCGTGAGTCACGCGAACGAATCGAGCCGGCTCGTTATTTGCGCGCGGAGCGGCGTGATCTTCGCCAGAGGGCTTAATGAAGAATAAAGAGGCTGAAATAGCTCGAGGCTGAGTTTGTCAGTAACAGACATCCGCGGACGGCTGCGCGCAGTCCGGAAAGAATTAACACGTTCGTTACCAACGTCACATATTTGCGACAGCTGCAATCCTATATTTTACATAACGAAAACGAAATTAATTCTTTTAACATTGTTTTTTAATGCATTGACTGCCACCAGTGTATTGATGTATCACAAGTTATATGGCACGCTGTACAAACAACTACAGGCCGTCGTATGGCAGTGAATGGGTTAAAGTTATAGGATACAGCATTACATTTAGGAACTTAGTGACTCGTTCTAGTTTCACTTTTTTAATATTTTGTTTAAACGATTTGTTGGATTGAGGAGAATATTACAACTGACAAAATCGTCACTGAAACAAACGCTGGTAACGAACGTGTTGATGTAACGCATTTCGCTGCAGCTGATAACTTGCCGGACCGTGATAGAAGTCCGGCAAAAAGAAATAGCGGCAATTAGCTCGTTAAGCGGGACGCGTATATACCAAGTTCCTAAAGGATTCCGTTCCTCTCTTCAACGTTCACAAGCCTTTCCTCGGCGGCTTCGAAACGAGATACCAATGAATTATCAATACATTTGATCACTAAAGTCAACAGTTTATTCAGCGCCATGGTTATCGAAAGTTTCAACGAAGGAAGGGAAGCTTCGTCCGGGAATAATGAAGAATTTCTGACCTCGGTTCCCCTTCCTCCTTGTTTGAAGTATGGAAAGAAACGAGAATATTCAAGAAATTTTCTTTCAGTGCTCTCCGATGCTAATTTCATTTGTTTTTCATATGCATGCGTTTTGGCGGGTTTTAAATGTAGTTACCTTTGCATTATTCTTTCTTTTTATAATGGAGAACAAGTGTCGGTTTATTCGACAATGGTTCTGAAATCTTTGTAGAAGGAAAGGTAAGATAAGAATATGTACGAGAAAGAAGATTAATTTTCTTTCTATCAACAATGAACTAATAGCAATAATAGTTAAGGGACTTAAAAACAGAGTAGTTGGCAAGGAATCAATTTCTTTGAAGCAACACGAATAAAAATCGCGAAAAGTTCTCGCCGTTAACAATCACTTTGAACCGTTTTTCCACAGAAAATTCTTACGCGGAGTTGTGCAAGGGCACTTCGCCACGCTACGTTTTGCACCAGCCACGAACAGACGCCAGCACTTTCGCAAATGTCAATAACGTGAGTACAAATTGCATTAATTGAACTCCGAGTTTTCTGGCGGGGCGTTTCACGTGTGTCACCGGTCGAAAATACAAGGAAGGAAAAATGAATGCTCCCGGTAGAGCGATAACTTTGAGGGGTAGCGCTCGTAACTTTTAAAACGACGTGCTTTTTCCTCTCTCCTCACCCCTCTTTTTTTCATTTCTCATTAAAGATTTTTCTCGTCGAGCATGCTTTTCGTTCGGAACTGGTCACTTCCTGTACCCGTTATCCTTGATTTAACGTCGAACATTTTCTGGGGCATATTTCTCTTGAATACCCTCGTAGTTAACGTCAGATGTAATGATACTGTACAGTATAAATGCTAATTACTGGGTTGATGCAAAAGTCTTGACGTTTTTAATTTTTAGATTTAGTTTAGTAGCTCAACTGTTCGCGGGCTAAACTAAAACATGTAAGTAAATGTAAGTAAAATCGAAGAAAAAAGTGTTCTTTATACACGTTATAATAGTTTGAAAACAGATGTTACTTATTTCGAAGAAAAAAATTTGTCCGTTAACGTACAAAAAACGTTAAAATTTTTGCATTAACCCAATACAATGAAATGAAGGATCTAAGATCTATACCTTTATTTAACAAATATTCGGTTTCATCATCAATACAATGATAAATTTCTTAGTATATGAAAATAATTCTCCCTCTACTCTATCTCTAAACTATAATTTCATCGAGTACTTAATTCGAGATTTCTTTCTTTCTTTTGGCAAGGCGTCAATGATATTTCTAATGCAGTTGTCCCTTTGTAAAAAGCTATGCTATCTGTCCCCGACTAACTCTAAATCAAATACCAAGCAGGAGTAGAGAGAAAACAGTTCGAAATCGATCCGACAGCCAACGACCTGATCGCAAAATCGTGTCCGTCGCTCTCTATAATCACCTTGCCAGTCCCGGGCTGCGCAATTATAGGAAGGCATACGGTGTAGCACTAGATTGCCGGCTCCCATACCGCATAATCGGTAACAAATCGCGCATTCTCCGATTTTCCAGGGATCAGAACTAACGTACGCCGAGCTGTCGCTCCGAGGCAACCGGCGAATACCGCCTAATTGTTATCAGCCGGTACAGGTGTCCAATATTCAACGACCTCAACTGCTACCCATGTCGACACTGACGCGCAGGCAGCCAATCCAGGAACCGACGATTTACGCGCAAGTCGCCAGTCATTCCAAGCCGATTTATGTGCCACCCCCGCATCCGTACATGAGTCGCGCCAGCGACGAAACCACGGCAGAAACTCCATTAATCGGACACGACAATAAGGTGACAATTAATTGACGACCCGTAGGGCCGACCGGCTGTGTCGCGCGGCCGCGATCCGCTCGGCACTCGTAACTCTGGCGATTTAGAGTCCCGCTGAAACCGGGAATTGTTCGAATTTCCAACGGGAATATCTCTGCCACGGTCGAATTTAACGGAGGCCCGATAACGTCCTCATGCTTGGGCACTGATTGAAATTTCAAACGAATTTTCGGACATTCTCGTTGCCCCGGTCCTTCGACCGACCGCCTTCGGGGTTTTTCCGGTTTGGCCATTTCTGGAAAATGTTTCTGTGTTTGGGAAACGATTTAGGAATCGCTGTGTGCGTCGTTAAATTCGGATATGTGGCACAGTTCAAGGAATCCTTAGAGCTGTTGGATAAATTTTCTTTTGGATAAAATTGTGCTGAGCGTAGTATTCTCGCGGTTAGTAAATACTCGAACATTAGGACTGCAACCGGGCACTAATCGTGCGGCGGTGTTGATTCGAAGTCGAGATACGATCCAAGCCGAACTTCTCTGTTTGTCCTCTGTAGAGAAGAATAACGTGAATGAAAGAGCGAGACGTTCGATCCTCGGAACAGTCAAAACAAACAAATAAACGAGGGGATATTAATGCAAAGTTAAACTTTTTTATTTTTCACTTTTACTAATCGAAACTTTTACTAATTGAATTGTAAGCTGTTTCTGATTAAAACGAGGCCAAACACGACATATTTTGGAACATATTTACTTATTTAATCAATTACAATAATTCACTTTCTTTTAGTAAATTGTGATTTAAAGTATACCATTTTTAGTCTTGTTTTAATCAGAAGAATCTCATAATTGCGTTAATAAAAGTTTCATTTACAAAAAAGAACCCTTATTAAAAAATGTTATAATTACATTATTGTCTCCCCGGTATCTACCACCATTGAACAGCGTATCGTGTTACAACTGCTCGACCATCGAACTCCTCGGCTTGTCGAAGGTACTCGCCCCTCAGTGCTGGAGATGATTAGCGGGTATATATTAATCGCGACAATACCGTATTTGGATAGAAGTTTATGTGAAATTTTATATAAAACTACCGTCTTGTGGATTTTCAATTTATCGTTAAAATTAAGCGCTTTATATCTCGTAATATATAAATAAATCATTATATTTATATTATAATATTTTTGAATTGTTCTTAGTTCGAATGTTTAACATCGTTTCATTTGCAGATCAACACGATCAGCCAGTCGGGCAGCTCGATATGGCGCACCGACACGCCGCCGTCTTCAAATACGCCGACAACATGATTCTAAGGAATCTCGATCTCGATCGACGCAACATTTCGCTCTTAAACATTTCTCGGCGCACCGGTTACTAAGAAATTAAATAAGCTCCTGAACGAAGAGATGGGAACTAACGATAAAATAAAACAAAAAAGAAGAAAGGAAAAATATAGAAACACGCGAACAACGCTCCTCGTGTCTTGTACGCGGGGAACGTCGCATGGTATCGTTGAACTTGTACGTGTGAATGTTACGGAGGAGGGTTCATGGAGACGGCGAACGATGAAAGTAATTTAAAAAATTAAAAAAAATTCAAAGAAAAGAAAGACGAGAAAAACAGATGAAGGTGTTTTCGCGCGAAGTATAGTACGAATATATAATATATGCTTTCCGAATGATTCGTGATAGAGTTTGTTATCGTTACGAAGGTGGAAATGAAAGAGGTAGACAAAATCGGTTAAAATCGATTAAATCTCGTCGAGAGGATCACGATTTCCGGTAGAATATTTCTGTTCTCGCAGGTGAAACGACCGATGGCGTAGCGATCGGCGGGTTAATGGCTCTAAAACTATGAAACGAACAACGTTGAATTATAGCGGGCCCTATTCAGCCGTCCGTAAAGAAAGAAGGGTAACAAAGGAAAGAAAATACACGAGAGGTCTCGAGGGACTGTTGTAGAGTTTCTTTTTTTGCTATGATCATTGGCCTGATCGGTGACGAGTGGAAAATGATCCTTGATTTCACATTTCGATTTACTTTCGATTTATTTTATATCGATTATACTTTTCGTATTTGATTAACCGAGAAGCTTCCAATATTCCTAAATAGATTGCGGATGTTTACGCGAATATCCAATTTCAGAGACTGATTAACAGAAATTGGAATTAAATAGAAATTCCTTTTCGTTGAAAGTTCTGTTAAGTTTAAGGAAAATAAAAATTTAAATAAATTTTATGAATCTGTTTGAGATGTTGAAATTTCAATATTCGTGTGTGTATGCTGTAAATGCATCGAATCCGCAGTTTAATTGTGGTTACGGAACTCCTCGTTTTACTTCGAAATTTACCGTCCATTTATTATTCAAAAACTTCTGTTGAAATATTCGTTCTGCTGTTCTCTGATCATATATTTTTAACTCCATTAGTAAGAAATGTCATTTTTATTCATGACATAAATTTTTGGATCTTCTTGAACAAACTGTATCGATTGTATTCAAATGCTTTGTTCGCGGCACAGAATTCTTTATTTGAACGATAAGCATTTCTCGTTAAAATGGAATCCGAATCTGAATGTATGACGAAAGAAATTCACATTTCGCACGAAAAAACAGTCCGAACGACGAATCCGCAATTCTTTCGTTCAGTATTACTCTCTTTCCGCGGAGTCTAATTACAGTACGGTGGACGACGATAGTTCTAACGATGGTGATCGACGATAAGTATATATTGTATTGTATATTATGTATGTGTCGAATGGTGGACACGCGTCTCGTGTTGTTTCTCTGCAGCTGAATTATTTATTGTTGGACGTAGGCGACGCGAAATTTCCGTGTACAGTACGGGTCTAGATAAATGCGGTGTTATTATAACAATGTTACGTAACCGTGGATAGAGTTTTAAAGA